AGTAATGTACACTTTACATTTAATAACTTTTACAGTTTATTTATCCCAGACGAAGCAAGAGTGCTAGGTGACAGAGGTCTGTTGAGTCGCTCTTGAACTTCTGTCCTCAGTTGTCGAAAAAGCCGGCCATAGGTTGTTGCTTGGCGATCTGGCAAAAGGGCGAACACTAGAGGGAAGGTGTAGGGACTAACTCTGGCATGACTGATGTATACTTGATCCCATAAACCTGGACATGCTGTGAAGGTACCATCCATGTGAAGGGTGTCAGCTTCCTGGAGGGCTTGTATCTGTTCTGCAGTGGAGAAAGCCAGGATCTTGTCATCGTCGCCGTCGCTGAACAGTAGAAAGGGACGTCCATCTGTTGTCTCTGACCATTTGTCTTCAATGTCTACTGCTGACCGCGACCTGGGTAACGCTGGAATGTAACACCTGAACAAGAGCAAAGGAACAGTTACACATATGTTACATGAAATATTGATAATGATTTCATTAACTTGAAATGTTTAAGAGCGAAACAAGTTATGTTGGAAGTAAAAAAAAAGAAGTAAATTCTAACCAAGTCAAAAATACGGGATGATATTTACCTGTAAAGTGCATTTTTTACGCTCTGAAATGATGGCATCGCTGGCATGTTGGGTTCATCTACTTGAGTGACTTGCTCCTCGTACAATGCCTGCATCTGTGTGGTTTCTTCTCGCGCTCTTTTACGAAGATTTCTGACAAAGTTCACTCTGGTTTCATCTTCAGGCGGATGTTATGTTCCGACTGATTGCAAAGAAAGTCACCGACAGTCGTACATTTCCCATTGCACGTCTTGACGACACATCTCCAATGTGTGCAGGTTTGCCTCTCGTTGTTGTTGTTGTTGCATTAGGTGTTTAAGAGGTCGCCTTCTGCCTAGGCAATTTCGGCTGACCTGTCCCTCTTTGGGACTCCTGTGTGTGAGAAGGGTTCATATATCTATTGTGAGTTCGGTGTTCACATAAGTTCTGTTTTTGCATTGATATGATTTCTATTTTCTTATATTGATATGATTTCATTTTTATCCTTGGCTGCTCTGTTTATATACGTTCGAGCAGCTGTCCATCTCTCAGAAATAGAGTTAGTTTGGCCTTCGCTATTGCATCTCTTGGCTTTAGGAGATCTATGACAGATAGCGGATCTAACTGCAATTCTTGTTTTAACCTAGCCCGGGCTGGGGCATGGTCTTGACATTCTAGTAACAGGTGGTCAATGGTTTCTGCCTGATTGCAAGATGAACAAACCTTGTCAGTTTGCCTCTCGCGGTTTCTGTTGTAAATATATCCATCTAATATCAACTGCCCACTTCCACGCCGAGAGGTGAGGTACTCTACTTTCCTTAAACCAGCCATATCGATACTGATAATCATTTTTATTTGTTTGATGAGTAGATAATCTAAACTCAACTCCTTCAACTGATCATACAGTAAGACAATTAAGATACTCCATAGTTTACATAGTTAATCTCATGCCTATTGAACGTGTGCTGAGAGTAAGGTAATTTAGGTTAATTAAACGAAATTATAACATATATACTCCCTAAACTGTGAGTCCCCTATCCCTACTCAGTACTTTAATCTAGTTAGGACTGATCCATTACACCTGTAGGTATATTCCCTCTTTGCCGAAATAAACATGTCTAACAATTGGGACGTCTATAGCTAACTAATGGGACGTCTAACTAATGGGATATAACCAGCTGAACAATGGCCAACGATCAAACTCAAAAGTGGGAGAGATATGACAATCGGTATAGGGAGAAAAGGTACAGATGATCGACGTTAAACTTGTTAGAATCTAGGAATTACCGAACTTAACCCCCCTGTTCATAAAATGAACTTGTCCGACATTGCCGAGGTCGTATTGTATTCAGCAGAGACCATATATAGATTATTATATGGTCTCTGTATTCAAGGAGTCATCATTATCAAACCCTGGGTAAATTGTTTTAAAAACTTGTACATTCGATTAACATCCTTAAAGAGGCTGTACTAAATGTTGATATCTCATATAAGAAATATACGGATGGGAATGTCTTTCAGTCATCTATGACGCATGATATATCGTGTTAAACGGGAATCTATGACGGTGAAGGACGTAAGCTCACTATAACCTGTTGTTAATGAAACAAGGGGACAGGAACGTCTCAATAACTACATCTTCTCATGTTATCCTAAGAGACAGCAGCTCCGTCGTTGGTAAACATCGCTGATAGGGTTCACGTTACCTCCAAACAGATCCTTTAGTGTCCCCCATGAACGCATGCCCGACCCCCAACCCACTATGTCCTCCCACGCCCTCGCGTGTCAACACAGAGTCTTGTCACAACAATTCCTGATGAGACGTATCCGTTCTGTAAACATGAATACACTGTCTCTGAAACACCCGGTCGTGGTTAACCAGGTGAAGTGTATCGGTTAACAACCCGTGGCTGTTTCCATTGTCTACACCCCTCCACCCTCAAACCCCTCCGTGTCCCAACAGTCATCCAAAGGTGTGTGTGTGGGGGTGGATGCGGGGATGAAATGTGCTTATTGTGCAGATTCATACCTGCCTACCTACATATCAACAAATATAGCCCCCTCGAACATTCACCCCCTACACACACACACACACGCACGCACTCACGCACACGCGCGCGCCCACACACAACTGCTGTTTTAATTTCTAATTAAAGCTACGATTGGACACCTTTTTGCGAACAAAATATTTCGTTCCTGAATTATTTAATCTACTAAAGAATAAAAATACATAAAATAAAATGCGAAATTAAAGCAGAGATAATGTGTTGGTGCCCAAACTGCTTGTCGTTAATGTTTAAAATTGATTAAACTTTCGTTATTTACAATTGCTTTTAACAAACGTGGTGTATGGTGACTGGCAGTGATGTTGTTACTGATACATTAATCGCTCTACAGACAGAGCTAGGTAGACAACAAACTATCTGTGATAATATCGATCAAGGGAACCAACTCGTTTCAGTCACAGCAGGACTATCTACTGACAAGCATATTTATTGATAATTATAAAGCCAGCCGCACAGCGATCCAAGGGAGATAACTCTACAAGCCCGAATGTTTCAAATTGTGGTGTGTCAGATCAGTAAGTACTTGAGTGTGAGTGAGTAAGTTTGGTTTAACGCCGCTTTTAGCAGTATTCCAGCAATATCACGCGGGGGACACCAGAAATGGGCTTCAACCATTGTACCCATGTCGATAATCGAACCCGGGTTTTCGGCGTGACGAGTGAACGCTTTAACCACAAGGCTACACGACCGCGCCAGTGATCACTACTTGAAAGTACTCGTCTCGTTAATAGAATTTAATAAGAAATCGATTGAGGTTTGACCGTACAATCTTAGCGGTTAGATTTTCATTATGACTCTTTGAAATAATTCAGTATGAAAAGTATTACAACCTTTATGCTGGTTTGAACCGAATAAATGAGAAAATAGATGCAAGGAGAAAATCATAATTTTCAGGTGAGTAAATGAGGCAAATTGAGACTTTTTAAGTAAAATAATTCTGCATGTATATTAATAATTGAAATAATAAACTACGAAGTTATTGAATGAAGGAAACGTTAATGAAATACAAATGTAGTTTTGTGCTATTATCATCAGAGTTTACCGACGAAAACCACCCGTGAAGATCCGGATTAGAATAGATATTCAGCAACCCATGCTTGTCCTAAGAGGCGACTAACGGGATTGGGTGATCAGGCTCGCTGACTTGTTTGATGTATGTCATGGTATCCCAATTGCATGGATTGATGCGCATGATGTCAACCACTGGATTGTGTGGTCCAGACTCGATTATTTACAGACCGCCGTCATATAGCTGGAATATTGCTGGGTGCGGCGTTAAACAACAAACAATATATTCCACCTATATCACGGCGGTCTGTAAATAATCTTGTCTGGACCAGACAATCCAGTGATTGGTATCATGAGCATCGATCCGCGCAATTGGGATATGATAACATTCATCAACCAAGCCTGCGAGCCTGACCACCCGATCCCGTTAGTCGCCTCTTACGACAAACATAGTCGCCTTTTATGGCAAGGATGGGTGGCTGAAGGCCTGTACTACCCCGGATCTTCACGGGTTGCGAAAATAAGAATTTTCTGTATTCGCTTGGGTGGATAGGGCAACACAGAAACTTAGTAACAAAGTGTATAATTTGAAATATGCTTTTAATCATTGCCTACGTTAAATATTAAAGTGAGAGCCAAAAATCAGTTTATATCTATTTCCAACATCAGTAAATCTATGACCCTAAACGAGCGATGAAAACAGAATTATGCTCAAATCACATATTGAACGCAGTAAACCACTTGTTATGACAAATCAGAGTAGTTTAAGTGAGTTTGGGAGTGTGGTTTTACGCCGCTTTTAGCAATATTCCAGCAATATCACGGCGGGGGACACCAGAAATGGGCTTCACACATTGTACCCATGTCGGGAATCGAACCCGGGTCTTCGGCGTGACGAGCGAACGCTTTAACCACTAGGCTACCCGACCGCCCCAGAGTAGTTTAAGAACCATGACACCGTTCCAAGGCGCATCGGCGTCTGAGAGACTTTAGGTCACACGTCACGACTTTATATGTACTGTACTCTAACGGAGGAAGGACATACCAGTCATTTCACCAAAACATGTGTAAAAACACAATACTCGCTATCTTTAATTAATTGGCAACCTCAACACACTCGAAAATACCCAGTAAAATAGTATGAGCGTTGGAGCTGAACGAATGATGCGGCTTTAACAGATAAAACCATTAAGTATTACCTTCTCATGTGTCATGCTTTCCACGAAACAGATAAAACATAGAACACACATCTTGAAATATAAAATATGTTTTTTGTAAGTTTTTCCTTCACTCGCGTCTTTTTTTGTAAGATTTGAACTCACGTGGTGCTGACTACCTTTGAACTCGATCAATTATTTCACAATTTCTATAGGGCGACAGAAGTTGTCTCCCTTGATCTTTCATTTGATCAAAACAGCCCGACAGATAAATCTGTTCCGGTCAGGAGAATCTAATAACATGTATGTTCTCCAGCTATCATGTTGGCAGTGGTACTGCACGCATCGCTCGTAATATCGTAGACACACGAAATTTGATACTACGAAACGGCCATCACATGAACGACGAAGTTCACTTCCGGACATAACGCCCTCCAGGTCCTGGGTGAAAGTTGATCGTCAGCTGGCAGTGGACAGTAACACGGTCATCGACTACAACGTTGTCTCCGACGATGGTACAGAGTCCGTACACACTGTATCCACTGAGCCATCTCCCTATACCGCCAGCTATAACTACCCCGGCGTGTTGAATGCGGACATGATCAGCAGGTAGTGGCTCAATGTTTACACTGGATCTTACATGTATTGTGTGTGTGTGTGATGGCAGTGTGTTGACATGCTGTGGTGATAGCCTGTCCTTTGATAAGCAAGCTGTTGTCATTTTTTAACTGATAGTGATTTTGATAATGGATGACAGTGACGTATCTTTTCCACAAGTGTAATATGTTCTGTTTGTGTTGTTAATTGGGTCATATATATACCGTACATCATCCAAAAGCGTGTATCCTGTGAAATAATGTGGTGAGACCTACCCCTCCCCCCCCCCCCCCCCCCCCCCCTCTCTTCAAAATATATATGAAAAAGTTTATAACTAGTCAATGAAGACATTTCTATAAAATAATATGATTTTTTTGGTTCTTGTTTGTTGGGTACACATGCATTATATCTGACACCATGTTTGTTTGATGCCACTAATAATGTAATGTATTGTGTATCTACTATGGTAATTAAAGATTTCACAAAAACATTTAATTCAAGCTTGAGTTGGGGGCAAGCCCCCCAAACCCCCTGTTGTTTTAGCGAGGCGACAGAAATGGCGCCTGAAAAACATAGAAACAGTTACTAAGGAATGAGCTCGTGCACATCCTTACCAAAATGGCGGAAGGTGTCCGGTATACTGCATTCTTATTGTTTAACGCCGCACTCAGCACTATTCCAGCAATATGACGGCGGTCTGATAATACTCGAGTCTGAACCACAGGCCCTTGTGTCGTTGCTTAAATAAAATAAAATGAGGACAGTGTATTTCTGACACTCGTGATATTAATTGATCTAGAAATATTAAAGCAACGACACAAGGGCATGTGGTCTGGACCAGACAATCCAGCGATGGACCTGTGAAGATTCCGGAGTAGAATAGATCTTCAGCAACCCAACTGATTTTTGGCTCTCACTTTAATATTTAACGTAGGCAATGATTAAAAGCATATTTCAAATTATACACTTTGTTACTAAGCTTCTTTGTTGCCTTATCCACCCAAGCGAATACCGAAAATTCTTATTTTCGCAACCCGTGAAGATCCGGGGTAGAACAGGCCTTCAACCACCCATCCTTGCCATAAAACGCGACTATGCTTGTAGTAAAAGGCTACTAACGGGATCGGGTGGTCAGGCTCGCTGACTTTGTTGGTGCATGTCATCGATCCCAATTGCGTGGATCGATGCCCATGATGTCAATCACTGGATTGTCTGGTCCAGACTCGATTATTTACAGACCGCCGTCATATAGCTGGAATATTGCTGAGTGCGGCGTAAAACACCAAATAACCTAACCTAACCAATCCAGCGATGGACATCAACAACGTCGATCAACGTAATTAGGATACGATGTCAAGTATAAACCAAGTCAGCAAGCCTGACCACCCGATCCCGTTAGTCGCTTCTTACACGTGACATCCCCGCCAAGTTTTAATTAAAATGAGTCAAAAGTCATTGACTGCAAACTGATCTGTTTGGAAAGGCCACAACGACAACAATGATCCTATTTCAACTTATCAGAGTTTTAGCACGGAAGATATCTAAATATCTAAAAGATAATCAAGAACTCTGTTTCACTGCGAGAACACGGTGTGTGTAGCCCCTGCGTGATGCACGTGAAAAATGTTTTTTTGGCATCTCGCGCTTTGGCGCGTCCATGTTTTGCATGTCCCCGGGGAAAGTGTGCAATTATTTTAGGACCAACTCGCGCACATTTATCAGTTAACTGATGATTACTTTATCTTGAAGATTGTTCTATTCATGAGAAAACAAAGCATTGGTGAAGAAAGAGTGTATTTTTTACCCTATGTGTTGGTTTCTTTCAAAGAAAAGCCACTAAACAGTACGGAAGCTCAATGTATAGAATAACGCACTGAACACACTATCCCTGGGCTTAAACGGATTCACTGTTGAATTGTTTGATAGGCATGACTTAGAAATTGACAAAGTTGAGATAGTTTATGGATAACAACTTCTTTGTTTACTGTAAACATCGCCGTTAAGTTAATAAGGAAGTTATTATCCACTAACTATCTCTAATTTGGATTCACTTTTGGTCTTGATGTAAATACATATTTTATTGATGTTTTCTATGGCGCCGTGCAAAACTCTGTAAACGATAGCTTTCGGTGCGGATTTTGCGGGCTGGAGACCCGATGGCGCCACATCTTCTTCGTCAAATTGTTCCATCGTCAAATTAAATTGTAGACGAACGAAGTAACGTCATCGACAAATAGGGTTTAACAAACAATTCAGTTCCCGGGTTAAAACAAATGGGCCATGCTTAGTGATGTATATAAAAATGTTGTAAAATATTTGTTTTAATTTGTGAAATAAGAAATTACATTCTTGTAATTTGATTTTTCTTCTTCGGATCTGTAAACAATGAAATTAAAACAAAACGCCTTGTGATTTAAGCCGAGAGTCAATGTAGAACCATGATGAAGGACGCGTAATAACTGTCCCTTGTGTCTCTTTCCTTCCGCTAGGTGGCGTCATGGCGATGTCGCGAATCCAGGACGAGGTACTGCAGTGTACAATCTGCTACGACACGTACGAGACGCCCAAGACCCTACCTTGCCTCCATACTTTCTGCGAGCACTGCCTGGCCGACTACATCAAGGGGGTGCAGGGGGCCGTCAAGAAAAATGGCTTCTCCTGCCCAGTGTGTCGAGACTTTATCAAGGCTCCAGATCCAAAGCGGCGCCCCCAAGAATGGGCAGCCTTGTTTAAGACTAATTTCCATTTGAACAAATTGATGAAAGCTCTTGAAGAGAAACCCGGTTCTACATCACCTGGGGAAGGGCCATTTTGTGCCGAGCATTCTCAGAAAGAGCTGGACCTGTTCTGTGTTCAGTGTGTTAAGCCAATATGTCATTTGTGTGCCGGGATAGCCCATCGTGGCTGTTCCCTCGTAGTGACGTTGGAGGAGGCAGCAGACGACAAGCGGGTACATCTTAATGCGATAAGAAGACAGATGAACGACACTCTCGTTCAGTCGCGAGATGAAGTGGCAAAGGTCAAGAAGCAGTTGGACAGGATCCGTGGTTTGAAGGATGAGTGTACGAGTGACATCAAGAAGTACACCGAGTCATTGGTTGCTGTGATACGGAACCGTGAAGCGGAAATGTTGCAGGACCTGGAGGAGAAGCACGAGACACTGAACGAAACAGTTGACCTGAAGATCGACACCTTCCGGGACCAACAGAAGGCATCGCACCAGGCCTTGGTTCAACTGACGGAGCTGGTGTCTGAGGGAACAGCCGCTGATATCCTCGGAAAACATTCCAGTTTTGAAAACGTTGGTTCTGTTCATGTGCCTTCTATATCTTCCCTCTGTGGGCAACTTCAAAGAGTCGAACTCAGATTTATGGGCGGAACGTATTTAAAGAAACTGAACCACAACGCTTCCCAAATAGGCGAGGTGGTTCTGGAACAACGGAAGAAAGAAACGGTTGCGAAGAAGCCAACAATTACACCTCGCCCGTCTCCGGATAATCAACAAGTTACACTAAATGCGAAACGGAATCAGAGTGGGACAGCACACTTCCGAAGGAGTCGATCCCACACTATCGCAGATCCCGTCCAATCACAGCCCACCAACAAACCAGTGAAGTTGAAAACTATTTCGGGTAAACACAGAGAGGATGATCAGCCTCCGAAACTTAATGACATCGTTGTTCTAACTCAGGCTGGAGGTTCACACGGCAAAATCGTCATCGTGACAGACTGGAACAACCAATGCGTGAAGGCGTTCTACAGCAGACGTGACCGAGACAGTCGTCTGCTCCTTGGCGGGAAACCCTGGTCCGTCACAGCCCTGTCTCATACGACGATCGCAGTGACTATTCCTCTAGCTCAGCAGATATGCGTTCTCAAGGTTGGGTCGTCAATGATGTTGTTGTCTTCCGTTGTCGCAGAGAAGAAATACTCAGCTCTTGCCGCCCTTGACCGAAACACTCTGGTAGCCAGTGGAGGCAGCACCCCTCCTTCCGTTGACATCATCAACGTGAGCGGGGAGGTGCTGCACTCCTTCTCCCGCGATGCAGCAGGGGCGCCTTTATTTACCTACCCAGCATACCTGTGCTCCACACCCAAGGGGCATATTCTTGTGTCGGACAGAGACGCTGGAACCCTCACTTGCTTGACACGAGAGGGGGTGATAGTATGGTGCTTCCACCCCCAGGGGGCGCTGAAGCTCGAGAACCCCGGTGGCGTGTACTGTGACCCTCAGGGACGGGTTGTGTTCGCGGAGAGTCGAGGTGTGTTAAGTTTGTTAGACGGGGGGCAGTATAAAGGGGCGGTGTTGAGGACAATTGATGGGGTGGACACACCTCGAGGTGTGTGGGCTGGGGGAGATGGGACAATATACCTCACCCACAAACAGGATGAAATTTGTGTTTTTAGCGTCGGCAGGGTTACGACAAACACGTCTTAGAATTGAGATTGAATGTTTCAAGAACTTCCGTGTTACTAGACGATCGGGTTATATATTACGTGGTGTACAATTAACCGTGTCAGCTTCATAAATGTTTGGATCTCCTAAGTAAATCCACGAGAGGAGTTGGGACACGGGTGGACCAGTCGTCCACGGCGCCGTGAATTCGCTATGCAGGATAGTGTGCTTTAGGCGTGTCGGAAACCTATGATCGTGGGTTCGAATCCTGGTTCGCCCTGATTATGTTTCCAGGTGTGTTATAGCCCCGTATCACTGCACGTGGCTTCCACCAAAGTGGTCTAAGACCTGCATCACTTCGGACTTCCTCCCACATCAAGCAGACTCACCGCGGTCCAATGCCATGTACAATGGCACCCTGTTAATACGGGCCTCGTTAACCCAGCAGCCCCGCTATCCGTACTGTTAATACTTTTTTTTATACAAATGAACGAATACTGCTGAAATTTATTCAGTATTTAGGACACATGCCCATAATACATATTAACGTCATTTAGTATGCACCCAGTATGCTTTGTATAGAAGCAGCTATCAAGTATTGTTCACAGACTTTGTTTTTACGAAATTATGATCATCATTGTGATAATAACTGTTTGAATAAACATGGCATTTACGGAGATAATGGGAAATTTCTTATGTTTTGGACCTGAACATTCAATACACAGCACTATATCAGTACAGGACATTATTTGAATGAAAGTCATTAAGGTACGATCTTGTATTACATACGGTGGGCAACATTTTTGTTCACTACTTGAATACTTCTTTGTACATGTGATTCGTTAATCCGGAACTTTGTTAATCTGGACGTTTTGCTGGGAACAGGTGGCGGTGGGGAAGCCTCGTGGTTAAAGCGTTCGCTCGTCACGCCGACGACACGGGTTCGATTCCCCACATGGGTACAATGTGTGAAGCGCATTTCTGGTGTCCCCCGTCGAGGACTGTTGATGGAATATTCGTATAAGCGGCGTAAAACCATACTCACTCATTGGGAACAGTACGCCGGGTTAACGTGGGTTCACTGTACATAGTGATACTTCGTTTAAGGCTCGACCGCTTCCGTGGTCTAGTGGCTAGAGCATCTGCCCAAAGGGCGAAAGATCGGTGGTTTGATTCACGGCCGTGTCATACCCAAAGACATTAAGAGATGGTACTTTTTGTTCCCCTGCCCGAGAATAAAACAAGGACTGGTCGACTCGGAGTCAGGATATTTTGTCCGAGTGAGGTATCCATGTTAAACTGCAGCATGGTATCACAGTGGGCTAACTCTGTTAAAGGGGGGTACGGGTGGCCCAGTCGTCTAAGGCGCCGCGATTCGCTGTGCAGACTTGCGTCCCTTGGGCACGCCAGAAACCTATGATTGTGGGTTCGAATCCCGGTTCGCCCCGATTATGTTTCTAGGTTTGTCAGCACCATACCCGTGCTCGTGGGTTTCACCGAAGTGGTAAACGTCGAAGACCTGCATCACTTCGGGCTTTCCTCCCACATTAAGGTGACACGCCGCGATATAACTGGAATAGTGTTAAAAGCGGCGTTAAACCCAACTCACTCACACTTATAAAGCCGCCTATTACAAGCACCCACACAGAGAGATCATAAGTGCAGTAATGTTGAACCCAGCGTAAAAAACACATTTCTCCACACTTCACACCCCGTATTAAGGCACAGATACTGCACCTCGCTTCATCCACCCGGTTACCCTGAGGGAACAAATGCTGTACTTCGATACTTCATGTTTCGAAGGGGGCCAGTCGTCTAAGGCGCCGCGATTCGCTGTGCAGAGTTGCGTCCCTTGGGCACGCCAGAAACCCGATTATGTTTCTAGGTTTGTCAGCACCATACCCGTGCTCGTGGGTTTCACCGAAGTGGTAAACGTCTGAGACCTGCATCACTTCGGGCTTTCCTCCCACATTAAGCTTGCACGAGGCGATATTACTGGAATACTGTTCAAAGCAGCGTTAAACTCACTCACTCACTCATGTTTCGAAGGTGGAGGAACCTGTGACATGGGCCAGTTGAATGTGAACTTTACGGTATCAACTATGTCCTTTTTTTGGGTGGTTGGTTTGTTTGTTGTTTAACGCCGCACTCAGCAATATTCCAGCTATATGACGGCGGTCTGTAAAAAATCGTGTCTGGACCAGACAATCCAGTGATTGATATCATGAGCATCGAACCTCGCAATGTGGGATCGATGACATGCATCAACCAAGTCAGCGAGCCTGACCACTCGATCCCGTTAGTCGCCTTTTACGACAAGCATAGTCACGTTTTACGGCAAACGTTGGTTGCTGAAGATCTATTCTACCCTGGGTCTTCGCGGGTCTGTCCCTTTGAACGTTATTGTGTGACTTGAAAGCTGTGTCCAGCATGCTACTTATATTATGAATAAATGTAAGGATCAAATCACAGTGCTGTTTCACTGCTTCACATATATGTTTGATAACATTTCCCAAGTTAGTCTGGTATTTGTTGCAACCACCTGACACCCATTGGCTTAAAAAATAACGTACAGTGAGTGAGTGTGTTGTGAGCGTGGTGAACATATAGTTCTATTATGTGAGGCTGCTCGTGTGTGTGAGATGGGGAACAAAGGTATCTCAGGTGAAGTTGCTTCAGTGTGTGAGAGGAGCGAGATAGAAAAAAAACATACCCAAAAAATCTCCCTCCTCTCTCTCTTTACCCAACGCGTCTCGTTGACCGCATTTCAAATACATAAAGGGAGCTTACTTTTGTAACCTTGAACGCCCCCACGCAAGTGAACAGCTTGGTTGAAACCCGAAGGATTTTGTGGGCTGACTTATTATGGACGGACACTGGCGTCAGGGGTTTAGGCGTGTATTAACTGTGCAAGTGGAGATAATCACGCTTTTTTTATATCTGAAAAAGTATGGTCACTTAATTCTCGGCCCGCGACAATATATATCGTCGTGAAACAAAAGGGACATGGTGAGGTGAGGTGAAGTAGGGTTTAACGTCGCGTCCAAGATTATTACACTTATGTGTGTGTGTGTGGCTGCTTGTACTAGTCCGGACTGATGCCGATTTATAGTGGTAGCCCACTGAGATACCATGCCGCAGTTTAACATGAATACCCCACTCAGACACAGTATACTGACTCCGAGCCGACCAGTCCTTGTTTTTGCCCCTTTATGCCGATCGCCAGACAGGGTAACAACAAGTACCATCTTTTAATTTCTTTTGGTATGACGCGGCCGGGGATCGAACCCCGGACTTTCCGCTCTCCGGGCGGACGCTCTACCACTAGACCACGGAGGCGGTCAAAAGAGACATGGCCATCAGCTAATAATATATTCATCAGCACTGGTCGCATTAAGAATTCTCTACGAATAATATACGTGATACCGCGACTATAACACCAGGAGTCCGTCTGTTCAAGTCGTGCTTCGTTGGCGGCATTACACTCTCAGTAATTAACGGGTGACGTCACGAACTGAGTCTCGCTTCAGTGAATTGGGAAACCTTCGCATGATGCGTTCGCTCGAAGCCCGGGTTCGATTCCCCACGTTGGCACAGTGCGTGAAACACATTCTTAGTTCCAAGTCGTGAAAGTGCTTGGCTATTGCTAAAAGAGGCTCACTCACTTATGTGTGAAGCCCGTTTTGTATCATTCCGCTCTGATAACATCTCTGTACCCCTCACTCACTTACTCATAACGTGTGGCGCCCGTTGTCTCCCTTCCTGACTCCCTCCATGACTCCCTCCCTTACTTACCCTCCCTTACTGACTCTCCATCCCTCACCCCTCCCTCTCTAAATCCCTCACTCACTCACTCGTGTGGCGCCCGTTGTCTCTATCCCTCACCCTTACTCACTCACTCACTCATAATGTGTGGCGCTCGTTTTCTCCATCCCTCACCCCTCCCTCTCTCCCTCCCTTACTCACTCACTCGTGTGGCGCTCGTTTTCTCCATCCCTCACCCCTTCCTCTCTAAATCCCTCACTCACTCACTCGTGTGGCGCCCGTTGTCTCTATCCCTCACCCTTACTCGCTCACTCACTCACTCACTCATAATGTGTGGCGCTCGTTTTCTCCATCCCTCACCCCTCCCTCTCTAAATCCCTCACTCACTCACTCGTGTGGCGCCCGTTGTCTCCATCCCTCACCCTTACTCACTCACTCACTCATAATGTGTGGCGCTCGTTTTCTCCATCCCTCATCCCTCCCTCTCTAAATCCCTCACTCACTCACTCGTGTGGCGCCCGTTGTCTCCATCCCTCACCCTTACTCACTCACTCACTCATAATGTGTGGCGCTAGTTTTCTCCATCCCTCACCCCTCCCTCTCTAAATCCCTCACTCACTCACTCGTGTGGCGCTCGTTGTCTCCATCCCTCAGTCCCTCCCTGATTGACTGACTGACTCGCGTGGCGCCCGTTCTGTGTGTCCCTGTGTTCCCTATGGAAGTGCTGGACTGAGAGTTAAAACCCGGTCTATGACAACATCGTCGTTTAACACCTCAACGATCTGATAAAGAAAACTTCATTCAAAAACATGCCCTAGATCACGCATCGATTGTTATCGAACGCTGATATTGAATTAGGCACAAAAGGGATAACATTATTCTTAAAGCCGTGTGCCCGTCAAGTTCTAAAATCAATGCACTCTGAGGAGCACAGGCTTTCTACGTTCAGTTATATCTGAACCGTCACAAGGCAAGGAACAGAGGCTGTTCTCGAGTCTCCGGGAAATGACTGGTATAGCAATGTGTTGTTAAGACAGTACGCCTTGTCACACAATGGGTGTTTGTAATAATTTACACATTGCATGTCATTGAATCAAGTTAAGGGATTTAATGTACCTGTGTTGCTTTCCTTTAACGGGATTTCCTTTCGAAGATATATCGACATATGCACATCCTGAATTAATTTTGAAACACCTTTTATTGTTTGGCGATACTTTGTTTCTGAAAAGCTCCACTAATATGTTAGTACGCGTTGCTTGAGATCTTGGAAATGTATCAATACTCATCACAAGGCAGTGATGGCGCACCCCTAGAGACTATCATCAAGGTCGGGCATCCAAGGTTTATATGACTCCCTCCCTTACTTACTCACTCACTCACTCGTGTGTGTCTGCCCCTCTCACTCACTCACTCACTCATACTGTGTGGCGCTCGTTTTCTCCATCCCTCACCCCTCCCTCTCTCCCTCCCTTACTCACTCACTCGTGTGGCGCCCGTTGTCTCTTTCCCTCACCCTTACTCACTCACTCACTCATAATGTGTGGCGCTCGTTTTCTCCATCCCTCACCCCTCCCTCTCTAAATCCCTCACTCACTCACTCGTGTGGCGCCGTTGTCTCTTTCCCTCACCCTTACTCACTCACTCACTCATAATGTGTGGCACTCGTTTTCTCCATCCCTCACCCCTCCCTCTCTAAATCCCTCACTCACTCACTCGCGTGGCGCCCGTTGTCTCTATCCCTCACCCTTACTCACTCACTCACTCATAATGTGTGGCGCTCGTTTTCTCCATCCCTCACCCCTCCCTCTCTCCCTCCCTTACTCACTCACTCGTGTGTCTCCCCCTCTCAATCACTCACTCACTCATAATGTGTTGCGCTAGTTTTCTCCATCCCTCACCCCTCCCTCTCTAAAT